TTTGACGGAAACATCTTTTGTTTTTGGATTGCGTTTGCTTTTGACGTATTGCAAAGCAGTTTCAAATGAGTCCGTGGAGGAGGTCGGGCTGGTGGATGGGTCAACCACAGGGCTTCACCCAGGAGACTGCTGTCTGTGTCCCCGTCTGAACTTTTGTTGCATAAACGTAACATAGAGTAGAAGTTTTCTTTCGTTGTGTTTTAGTTTTTTTTTTAGTTTGTTTCAGTTTCACACTCATTTTAGCCAAACCACAATGTCTTTTTTTACTAAATCTAACCCAGTTTGTTTTTGTTTGTTTTTTCAATTTACAACTTTAAACCTTGTGTTTAAAACTGCAATCGTAATCCAGAAGGAAAAAAAAGCTTCAATCAAAACATAATTGAGAGTGCAGTTGTATGGGAGTATATGAGTGCAGTTATCCCACAGTTGTATGGGAACATCATTTTGTAGGAGACAGGGTTGAATTTTTAACACTTACCATATTCCTACCAGATACCAGTTTGTTCTGAAACGTCCCCTCGCCATCCAAGCCTCCTCGCGTTTCTTATCACCACACTTACAGGCGTTATGTTCAAGTATATTTTATATTTGTCACCCATATATCCTCAACAACAAATCATCCTAAGTGCATCTCTGATGTCTCATTTCTACACAAACCCTAATGTCTGACATGGGATAATGGACGTGTAATTAACCAAAACAATCTGACTTTCCCTTTTCACTTAAGACCAGGTTGGAAAGTATAACTCCATATTAAACAATATAATTAAACAGGATTTAGGATTGTTGTGTTACGCACTGGAGCTTGGACATGGCAGACAGTGGGGACTTACATATCTATTTTCATGTTTAAATCATTTGTAATCTTTTGCAATTATTTCTGAGTTTCTTCAAATAACACATGATCAGTCCTCCCAGCACTTTGCCATCTGTGTCCCTGCTCCAGTGGGGTGTATTGAGAGGGCATAATGGGACTGAAAGTTAATGCCATCCCCAGAGACCTCTCCCTTTTTGCAGACTCACTCTGACTAACCAGTACGAGTTGCTCCTCCAACGGCAAGAAAATGATCCCTCACTGGCTTCCCACCTGCAAACTTTGCCACATTGAACATGTTGAGTTCAGTGAAGTGCACGACCAAGCCAGAACCAGTACTGCGGCTAGATATGAACCTCTGCAGGGGGTTTGTGTGGGCGCTTTAACCCTTATGCCACCTCTGCACCGGCAAAATTGTTATATTGACATACTACTATCTATTTTATGAAATCTTTTTCATGAGTTGAAGAAACCTTTAGGGCTTGGAACTTTACTTTGGACTTGACTGACAAGACATGACTCTTAGTTGTGGAAAAACAAACACTTGGCTCCACCTCTGTCGTATGATAATCCCGTCGTTCTTATGTTAAATAGAAAACCTTGTTGAACCTGTCCTATCAAAGTCAGGCCAGGCCACACAAAGTGTGTTGATTTACAGTATGTTGGATTATATTTCTTGTGTTCTAGACATTAAAATGATGTCAAAAGGTGCAATAAGACATGTGATTCTTTGTCAAAAGGGTTGACGTCAACGGACAGATTGAGCAATTTATAATTACAGCACTGTATGTTAAAACCTGTATTGCAGAATATTGCAGCCTTCTTGGGGCTTTCCCCTTTGCCTGCCTAACTGTGACGTAGACGAGGGTGTGTGTCTTGGTCTGTGTGAGTGTAGTGGCAGGGAGTGGATGGTTGGGAGACACAGCTGTGCGGGCTAGATATGTAGTTAACAGTAGGAAGCATTCATACTACACATTCTGCTGCAGTGTGTCACCAGACAGTGTCTCTCTCTCTCTCTCTCTCTCTCTCTCCCCCTCTCCCCCTCTCCCACTCTGTGTCACTTCCTTCTGCTTCCCACTCTTTTCCCCTTCACTTCTCTCGTCTGTCTGTCTCCTGTTTCTTGGTATCCGACACGCACACCCCCACGTACGTGTCTGTGTGCATGTGCAATCATTTACACGCACATACACACACTTTTCTCTTTTCTGTATCCCCTCCCCCAGTGACGGACTTTCCCTCCCTCCATCCCTCTCCCTCCAAAAAGTTTCCCGCTACAGTAAATGAAAATGTATTTCTTTGACTGCTACCACTTTTACCTTTTACCACTATTTCCTCCTTCCTTCTGTGGAACTGTGCTTATTCCTGGATTACACCTCAACCACACATGTACAAACACACACCCTCCTTTCCTCTGAAAAAACAAGAAGACGTTGCTTCAATGACAACGTAAGGCTGATCTCGCCTCTCCCAGACGGGGTGTGTCAAGGCTTTTGTCTGTCTGATGGCATATTGAATATCAGAGTTATAAAGAGGGGTGGGGGGCTGTTGTGGGTGTGTGCAAAAAGTCTCCACGTTTTTTGTTCTTTCAAGAGCAAGAGTGCTCAAGTGCTGCTCCAGGTTTGTTTCATTTCATTCGCTCTGTAATGAGTTTTGTTACTGCTGTGAGAGGCAGAGATCTGACTGGGGAGTTCAAAGTTAAGCCACAGGGAGGGAGGGAGGAAAGGAGGGAGGAAGGGAGGGAGAGGAAAAGAGAAGCAAAGACGAAGAGAAAATCATACAAGCCAACAAGCCCTCACTTGAACACTTCTGAACATTTTGGAGACAAGAAAAGCGACGAAGACAAACTTTTTTCTTTTTTCTACTCCTTCCTTTATCCTTTCTTCCTCTCCCTGCTCCACCTCCTCCTCACTGCCCCACACCCTCCTCCAATGAACCCTCGCACTTCAAGCTCTGAAAAGAAACTGAAGCAGAGAGCTCGCAAGAGGTCTGAAAAAAGTTGGCTTCGTCTTTGCATGACTTTGCGTCTGTGTTTCTGCTGGAGTGTGTATGCCTCACAGAGAGTGAGTGTGTGTGTGTGTGTGTGCGTGCGCCTTGGTCTGTGTGGGAATGATTACATCAGCCTGCTGCAGCCTTATGATTGGTTGGTGAGCGTGTGGTTTGATTCAGTGTGCCTCGGAGCCTGTGGCTGAGGCTGTAACCCTTTGTGAGGGGGAGAGGGAGAGAGAGAGGGAGAGGGACAGAAAGAGAAAGAAAGATAGTTGTCAGACTCAACTGGCACTGGAAGTACACTACCTGCTGCCATCCTATTACTGACTGTCTCTGTGTCTCTACAGACAGTGGCTTTAGGTCATACAGACAATTTTTTTTTCTTATTTTTGAAAGACAGTGCCGGCGGCCTAGATAGACTGGAGGACTAGTCTGCAGGCTATGTGACAGGTAGCACAACTGCAACTGTCAACTGAGGGCACTCAAATTTTTCTTTTTTCTTTTTTGGAGGAGGCAGGGCGACATAACAGCAAGGTTTTCTGTCTTAGTGACTGTGTGAGAGAGTGTGTGTGTGTGTGT